TGGTGGATTTGAACCACTGACCTTCTGATAAGCAGCCAAATGCTTTATCTACTATGCCACCAGAGCTCTTTAATATACACTTCGTTTTGTTGTTGCACTTTATTTTTTCTTGAAATCTACTTATTTAAAGATGTAAGTTACATCTATTCCATTGTTATTTTAATGGAATATATGAAGAAAGCTGTATTTTTGTTTCAGAATAAGCAACTTTGAATTCTTACCAACTGATTTTTATAAGAAATGGAAATATTTCATGCTCTTTTTCTCCAAAAAATTTTACATAGTATTTTAATTGCACTGAAAATTTACTAGCTAGAAATAGGGAAACCTTATGTTAATGTGTCCTTTTAGATATTAATTGTTATTAATCAAGTTTTATAAAGCTATAGGTATTAAACTTTTATACAGACTATAATTAAGTGATGTGCATTTTAGATTAATGATCTTGTCCCATTTTATATTTTGCAATAGTTTTTGTTACATGCAATTGCAGTGTATAATAATACTATAGGATTTCAATATTTAGAAATATTTCTTAAACTTAGAGAAATGCAATGAGAATTTTTTCCTAAAAATTAAAGAATGCTTCTCTAATTTATTAAAGCTCTTTCCTGCAAACTTTAAAAGATATTTGTAATATCATCATAATTTTTATCAGCTATTCTCTGACCTTTATATTTATATCATATGCTCAATTATAAGCTATTCAATTTATGCCATTTTTATATATTCAAAGACAATGCTATTGGATAAAAAAGAAATTTGTTTGGAGCAAATGTACATTGAATAATCAAGTAGGTGCGTGAATGAACCTATCATCCTTAATGATTTTGCTGTGATCCCTCCCATAATAAAATTATTAATAAAATTAAAGAGAAATATTTTATTAATAATGGTACCAAGAACACTCCATTTGAAATAAGACCATGACATAGGAAAATTATATATATTATAATTATATAATTATATCTATAATTAAATATATTATTATATATATTATATACATATTATATTTGTATATATATATATATTTTGGGCCTGAAATTTGAGACTAATTGGTGCCATCTAGTGGCAATAAATGACTCTCCCTCTTGGAAGAGTTCTTAAGAATGATGACTAGGTCTCAGATATGTGAGATATGAATGGACATCCCTCACAATGAGAGGGCTTAAATGATTTTCTGACATAAGCATCATTCCCCACATCGTATTTTATCCCAGCAGTAGAGTTAGTTGTTTGAATCCACCACATTTACCAATCGTGATGGTGCTGAGAACACAGTGGGATCACAGTAATTTATTGACTGCATTTTAGCACTTTAATGGAACAATAATAATTAGTGAAATGGTGAGATCTTGTCAGGAGGAGAGAGATGAATAAAAAATTTTGTGTAATCAGCTTCTAGATCATTGAGATTTGTGTATCTTTGTACTGAAAAACTTGTTTTTGCTTTCTTACTTTAAAGTGAACCCATCCCCCACCATTTGAACCCATCCTGTGTTTTCTTTC